CTACAAACTGCTTTATAACTGCTGAACACATATTGGCCTTGTTTGCCAGTTGAATAAAAAATTACTTATTACGATTCGGAGGCCCCCTAAAAGACGGGGCCCGGGGCGGACCGCCCCTTCCGCCCCCCCCTTATTCCGCCACTGTACGTTCAGTAAACTGATTGTAGAAACCATAGATAAATGAAACAAGTTTAGATTGGAAAGTGCTTATAAGGGCAATGTAAATACTATTTGGCGCTATTCTTTCAACGGTCGCGACCCAAAGCTTTTGATAATTTCGGAGCGGTTCGGCTTTTTCCGGAATTATATCGCCAAATATTGTTTATTCAAATTTATTATTATTTTCTTCTAATTTTATAAATAAAATACAGTGTGTTGCATACAAGAAACTTAAAAAATGTGAAATACCTATAAAACATTGGACATTATACCGACATTATACCACGATCCACGATGGTTTTTGCAGTTCATACCACAGCTCTAAGTTTTTCATGCCACTTTTTCACAATTATCACGGGTTTGAGTAAATAAAATTTAAATTAAACTCACACGATATATAGCAATAATTACTTTTAAAATAGATGGTTTAAACACTTTTCGGTATTTTTTCAATGAGAGCGGTTAAAATTTTGAAAGAATTTATAATTTTTGAAGATCCTGACTTTGACAAGAGAAAATTATTTCTGTTTTTGTTTGCGGTTGTTCTTAGCAACCGCTATAGCAGCGCCAGATCGCGTACAATGGTCGCGACCCAAAGCAATTATATATTTTGAAGATCATTCCAATCTAACTTTATTTCCTTTATCTATGCTAGAAACTAATTATCATATTTTTACTATTTGTCAAAATAATTTAGATACGCCAATTTAACTTTCGTTGTTCAGTAGCGTATCTGATGTTTGTGTTACTAAATGATTATTATAACTTTTCTATTTTTATTAGAAATTTATATTTTTATAACAATTTTAATATCTACTTACTAACATTTATTGACAACCTAAAATAAAATAAATTATTGAGCCTACCCTACATTATATTTTTACACGTTTTGAATAAAATTAGAACGGCACTGATAACGACCATTGTAAATCCCCATCATAGCTCAATCTAAGTTTTTCGATATGCTCCGTCTTTAATCTTTTTATTCAAAGATTTTTTTAGAATCTGGAAAATTAGGATTTATCTGGAGCCCATTAAAAACAAATCTATCAAAACTTAGATTATTACATTCAAAATATAGGAATAAATAATTTTTAACTATCGATAAGGCTTATTTAATATCGTCTACATTACTTACTTATGGAATTTTGATCTCGTACCATCGGAAGAATACCTCAGTTGGTTTATTAGAATATTTCGATAAGAAAGAAGTACTGGAATCCTCATATTTTCTTGTCAAACTCTTCGATACTTATATATTGACACTAATTGACGCTAATGTCAATACACTTGATGACTTGAAATTACCAAATTATTGATTCAATAGTTGCTATGGATTATTATGAAAAAGATGACAATGATTGGAATACATATACGGGGTGCGTAATAAGTAAAAAGTAAAACAAGATTTAGGATATGTTTCTTGTTTTAAAATTTAAAATAGAAAGGAGATTTTTTGTATAAAAATTTTCAATTTGGCGTTATTTTTCAAAGAAATTTATTGTAAATAAAAGCAATGTTTAAAATAACGAGTATTTTATTATAAAATTATATAAAAGTTATCTAAAATACAAACTGGTATCTAACAGCGTCAATCGTTAAAATAATCAGTCCTTAATCTCCTCTATCTCCAACAATTCTACTACATACAATATTTTTTGGAGAAAGGTTACTTAAATATTTACATGTTTGTTTCTCGTTTAATTTAATACTGGTAAAATACAATACAATCAAGCTTCAAGAAGTACCTACGTAAAAAAACTTCTTTGGTAAACTAAATTCTCAAAAGTACTGCAGATAGAACATCGTATAAATGAAAACTATGGACAAAACATTCAGGTTGTTGAAACTTCAAAATATTCTCTAGCTAAGAGCCCGGGGGCGAGTTGAAAAATATATAGATCTTTTAGGTGTCTTGGAGCACCTAAATACGGTAGTAATTGTAGTTAAAATAAATTAATATAAAGGTATCTATATGAAAAAAGGCTTGTTCAACATTATTTCTCATTTACTGATATGAACATGAACAAGTATGACTATACACGATGTTTGATTTGTAAATTTAAGCAAGGCACGCACTTTTTTATAATTTAGTCATCTTTGTACCGATTCTGGTTTGCGAGAAGCTTGTAGTGTGCATCCTTATATGGGACACCAGTGTGCATCCTTATATGGGAAGTGGTAGTATCTCCATCAAGAGAAGCAATGACAGTTGTCTATTATTGTAACTAAAAATTAGAATATATCGTCTGTCTACAAGCAAAAGACACTACTCGCAAAATAGTGGCGAGTGGCGAGTTTAGCACAAGTCCATAAACTGATATTGTACAAATAAAAAAAAACTGATACTGTTTTAATTCATTTTTATAGAACAATTACTATAATAGTTATTTACAGTACAAGTGTGTTTATAAACATGATTACAACAACGAGTGAGAATGATTAGAACGACGAGGTCGTAGACCGAGTCGTTCTTATCACACGAGTGTTGTAATCATGTTTAAACGCACGTGTCATGTTCAACGTTTTATCTACAACCGAAAAATAAGAAAATGCTGCTTTAATTTTCGTTTATTAGTCGCTCACCTTTAACACCTTTAACTATGACATTTGTCACATTTTTTTCTGAAAAGTCAGTCATAGATAAATACAACAAGTTTAGATTGGAAAGCCCGTAAAAATTTTAGGTCGCGAAATTATTTTGGGTCGCGACCGTTATACGCGATCTGGCGCTGCTATAGCGGTCGCTAAGAACAACGGCAAACAAAAACAGAAATAATTTTCTCTTGTCAAAGTCAGAATCTTCAAAAATCATAATAATCTTTCAAAATCTAAACCGCTCTCATTAAAGAAATTCCGAAAAGTGTTTATAGCGTCCACTTTCAAAGTAATTATTGCTATCTTGTGAGTTTAATTCAAGTTTTATTTACTCCAACCGGTGATAATTGTGAAAAAGTGGCATCAAAAACTTAAAAAGCTGTGCTGTGAAGTGTGAACCGCACAAACCATCGTGAATCGTGGCATAACGTCGGCTTCCAATGTTTCATAGGTATTTCATACATGCGTCCTTATATAAAATAAAGTTTCTTGTATGCAACACACTGTATTTTATTTATAAAATTAAACGAAAATAATAATAAATTTGAATAAACAATATTTGCCGATATAATTCCGGAAAAAGCCGAACCGCTCCGAAATTTTCAAAAGTTTTGGGTCGCGACCGTTGCAAGAATAGCGCCAAATAGTGTTTACATTGTCCTTATGTGCACATTCCAATCTAAACTTGTTTCATTTATCTATGAAGCCAGTTTGCCCTGTCAAGTAAACGCGAGCACTTTTTGCCCAGAAAAATCATTTTAAAAATTACGATGAGCGATTCCGAAAGTCTCCCTTCAGATGTAGACCTTGCCGCAGTACGTGCCACGGAATCATTATTGCCGGAAAAGTTAATATATTTAGATGTTCGTAGTTGTTTTTCATTATTATAGAAACTAGTTGTGTTATAGATTCATAACACCACTAGTTGTGTTATGAATCTCATAACGTAACTGAAATACTAAAAAAATAGTGATGTAAAAACGTTGTAACTAAACGGTTGTAGATAAAATAATTAAACAGCATTCTCAATGACTATAAAAATAAGTTAAAAATGAAACTTATAAAGCTTGATTTTCATGCATCCGTTAAGCTTGATTTTCATGCATTCGTTGTCCGACGATACGTTGATACGATATTAATTTTATTGGTAGAATTTAAAGACTTTGATTGGTTAGAAAATAACGCAGTTTTTAAATTTATTGCATTTTCAGGCCTCCGTTTATCGGATATACGTTGGTGTCATTTTATATTTTCGTTTCCATCTATTTTACTTATATTTTTATTAAGGTTAAACCATATGTTTTGACACATTTTTGACAAATTTTATATAACCTTAATAAAAATATAAGTAAAATAGCAAAATCGTTATGAAAACGGAAATATAAATTAACATCAACGTATATCCGATAAACGGAGGCATGAAAATGCAATAAATTTAAAAATGCGTCATTTTCTAACCAATCAAAGTCTTTAAATTCTACCAATAAAATTAATATCGTATCAACGTATCGTCGGACAACGGATCCGTTATACGTTGATACGTTGGTCCGACGGTGCTCTGATTGGTCATAGCGTTTTCGCGCCACTTTTCATCCGTAAATATGTTACTTCAGCCCGTCAACGGACCCGTTCATACGATAACGGACGTTTTGACACTTTTTTGACAAATTTAATCTAACCTTAATAAAAATATAAGTAAAATAGCAAAATCGTTATGGAAACGAAAATATGAAATGACACCAACGTATATCCGATAAAGAGAGGCATGAAAATGCAATAAATTTAAAAACTGCGTTATTTTCTAACCAATCAAAGTCTTTAAATTCTACCAATAAAATTAATATCGTATCAACGTATCGTGGGACAACGGATGCATGAAAATCAAGCTTGAGTCTCAGAAAACGTGTTTTTTCGTAGTAAAGATTCGTTTTGACACTTTAGTTTTGTATTACCAGTTTTTAGTTTAAATATAGTGTTACTAGCAGACCTTGTAGTCGAACATTGTTCTTTTTAGAACCTCTTTTAGTGCGAAGTGGTAAAAGCCGCAAAAAACTCATCGCTTTATTAGAATATTTTAAACAAGAAAGCGATAGTAATTATATAATAGCCCTTTTTGTCCCTTAAGTGCTGTTACGAAGGTGAGTTTTGTTAATGTAAATAATAACTGTTTATATATTTATAATTAATTTATTTTTGTTTCCTAAAATATTTTGATTTAAAGAAAATATGTAAAAGTAGGCAACGCTGTGCCGGTCAAGCTTAATCACGTGACTAAAAGTTTATTTGATATGAACTATAGTCAAAAATTGAATAACTGTATTTGTGTGTTTTGCTTATAGACGATATTTCCCTTATTTTCAGATGCTGTTTGTCAAAATTATACCTTCTTTCATTGGATTGTACCACGTTTCGTAAATTACTCTTAGATCTGATTTCATTCAGCATATGAGGAATGAATACGTTGAACAATTTTTCACTTAGCTACTCAATTTGGTAACAAAAACCCATTAATTGATATTTAGAAGCTTCAAAAATAAATACTAAAACAGGCATAGATGTCTCCTTCATCCGAAGTTCACCTTTTCTCGAATCTGAATTTGAATGTGTCCTTGCCCAAAGCCAGCGACCCAACAGGGACTGTGTAGCTCTCGTTTTGTACTTTTCTGATGTTGAAACGTTGCATGATTGCGCTCAAAACGCCGAAAGAGACCAACTGTACCAGTTTGTACCCCATGCAGCTCCTCCTGCCGCCTCCGAAAGGAAGAAAGTGTTCTGGTTTGAAGAATTTCTCGTTTTTGACGAACCGTTCTGGTTGGAATTTGTCCGGGGAGTCCCAGAGCTTTTCGGACATGCTCAGGTCGTAGTTGTTGAGGAATAAGACCGTGCCTTTCTCTATTTTGTATCCTGTAACAAAGAAATGTGTATAAATTACTTGAATAATGTCTTAAGAGCTTAGACTCTCACTAAGACGACTCAAGATACGCGAAAAAAATTTTCAGGGCTTAATACCGAAAAAAAAAATTGAAGACTTCTTCATTTAAGTTCACGGGATTTTTAACAGGACACTGTCTCCTGACGACTCATACACGTCATGAGGAACGCCTCAGTAGATTAAGAGAAACAACGGAGGATGCAGATTCTGTGGGGAAAATGAGAAAACACTAGAATACTTCATCACTGAGTGCGCCGAGACAAAAACCATTCATGCCATAAACTTTGGTATGACTGATATCGGACATGAAGAACTAACCCCTGTAAAATCGTTTCAGATACTGGCTTTTGCATTTGAGAGTGTATGATGAGTTATCACCTAAGGTTATAACTCAAGAAAGGGGGATACAATAATAGATCTATGATTTCGCGATGATTAATTTTCTCTCACTCATACAACCTGCAGTCTACAATCTACTGTTAGAGCATATTTTGCATTTTGTGTGGTAGCGGATGCATTTATTCCAAAATAATTCAATACGGTTCAACCAAATATAGAGAAGGAACAGGGAGAGTCTTAAATAAGTGCACATATTTTCAGGAATGGTAAAAAATATCTCGATAAAAGAAACACATTTCGTTGCTTTTCGACAAAAGTGGCACAATTCAAAATTTTGTGACTTTGGGTTTTTCTAACCCATAGTAATAAAAAAGCGCCTTTTAACAGCAAAACCATCCTAATTTAAAATTAAATAATTCACCGCTAGGTGTCATCCGGACCAACTGTCACTTTTGATTATTGAAATATGATGAACGTGGAAGACCGTACCAATTTAGGTGCGTCATGGTTGCATCGTGACATTTGTGTACGTTGGATCATACTTTTTTGTGAAAAAAAGTCCCAGTCCAAAAAGTGCCAATTTTGTGATAAAATGGTGATACATATTTCAGACCCGCTTTACAGAGTAAAGGATCGCAAAACAAAAAGTGACTGTGATTTTTCGGTCATTTGTGGTTTATTTTCGAGAAACAAAGTCACTTCTTTTTTTTTAATATTAAATACTTAACTTTTTAAAGGCAATAGATAGATCAAATATTAAAAATGTACTTAAAACTATACTTATTTACTATCAAACCCCATCCTCAAGATTAGTTAAAAACTGGTTGTGTAAGAAAACATAACATGATTCAAAAATTTTCAATTGCCTCTACTGTAAAGTTTATAAATTTTGAGTTGTGCCACTTTTGTCGGAAAACAGCGATTTTCTATTGCCGTTTTTCAAATAAATCCAAAATAACCCAGATATTTTACATTGAAATTAAAAAAAATTACTGTTGGCTTAAATTTTGAGAACCACTGGATTTTTCCAGGTTTTCTTTCTTGTAAATATAACCTACTACCTATGTTACCATATTACGTTTTTTTAACTAAGAATTAAAAAAAAATCCTAAATTTAATTGAGAAAAAGAAATTATTTTCGCGAAAATAAACTCATGTACGTGTTTCTGGGATTGAAATATTATATATTACCCCTAAAAATATTTGCACATATTTAAGACTCACCCTATATAATTCTTATAAATCTAAAAATTAATTAGATATTTTTGAAAAAAGAAAATCATCAAAAAATGCGGGTCAAACAACTTAATAAAATTTAAAATTAGTTAAAAAATAAAGTTTGTTATTTTCCACTTCTTTCTAAACCACCCTGTATTAAGATTATATCTACATTCTATTTTGAATAGTAGGTATTCATAAAATTCTTACCATTAATTGAACTTGTCTGATTGGCTACTCTGGGGACTATGGGAGAAGCAATAAGTCTGATGGCTTCAAATATAACTCCTTCTGTATATGGCATGTTGTTTCTGTCACAAATGGTGACAGATCTGTCTGATCCCACCGTTCTATCAATTTCAGTTTGAATTTTCTTCTGCACTTCGGGCTCGTCAACTAAGAATCCGAATAATTTGATCAAGAAGTTTCCTACAGCTGAATGACCTCCTGTAATAAATAAAACCCAATAAATATTTTTAATATTGATGTGGGGTAGATAATTTTATAAGGCTGAGTGATTAAAGCAGAACTCAAGAACACGGAAAACTCAAATTTTGAAGTATAATTAGTGGAAAAGTTAATAGTTTGGTAATTTTGACATTCAAATTAGAGAAACAAACTTCTACGCTAATTGAAACAAGTAATTTATTCCACTAATTGCGAGGTTCTGAATAAAGTTTAACCTCTACAAAACCAAGGCATGCCTTAAGTGTAGATTGTCCCTAATTTTTGATTAATCCAAAGTTTACTCTAAAGGTGAAGGCTAAAACAATTTGATCTCCGATCAACTTTTGATGAAAGAATCGTAGGACATAAAAAATGATAGCGATGATAGACAGATGATCAGTGTAAATGACGCTATACGTATATTGTTTGTTTTAAAATATTTTTTTTTAATTTCAACATTTTAAAGACACTTTTAAAACCAGTTACAGACATCTTTGGCTAAGTTGATAGTAAGTAGATTTGAACAAAATGTTGCTTTTACTCACCAATAATATCCTCCAAGGCAAATAAAGCCATTTCCCAATCCAATGTAGGTGACTCACTGTCTTTCTGATTTTCCAATTTCACGTGCCTTATTAGACTCTCTAAATAATCATTGGGTTCAGTCTCACAGTTGAAAGAAGTGAATTTGTCTTTGATCACTTTCTTGGTGATAAATTCTCGAATTTCGTGCGTCACCTTACTCATTTTCTGCAAAGAAAATATCATTTTAATTACTTATTATTTTACTTAACTAAAAATTATTTTTGTAAATTCAGTTTGTTTATACAAATAATATTCAAGTGTTTATACAAATAATTTATTATTATATTTTAATTTATCTTTGTTCATCATAATTTTTAAAGATAAGAGGTGTACCAACTGTTCTTGGTTTTTATTTTTATCTACTCAGAAGCTTTTTTATTAAAAATATACAGAGCAAGATGAAAAATAACACACAAAAATGCTGTTAAACTGTGGCTATCTTAAATATCCTTACCTGCATTTTCTTCTGATGAAATGGCATTAGAAATGGTAGAAAATCTGCAGCGTAACCTTGATTCACCTCATAAAAGACTTCGTCAAAATTTTCCACCATCTTCTCGAACTCAGCATCATTTGAATTGAAACTCTCTGTACAAAAGTGCTTCAGAAAAATATTAGCACATTTCTTCAACAATATTGGCTTCAAATGAACAGAACCTTCTTCTCCTTCAATATTTCCGATCAACTGTTGAGTTTCTTTAGAGATAATTTGTTCTAAAGCAACATATTTGTTGGTAAAAGCTCTGGGAAACGTGTAGGCTTTCAACATTTCTCTTCGAACTTTTTGTGTGCTTGACCAATCACAAAAAGCTAAAGCTATAAAGCGAAACAAAATAATGTAATTGTGCTGTATTTTTAGTAACAAGATACTAAAGATTTCTTAAACAAGTACTTACAGTTCTCTTTGTTTCCAGAAAACAGACTTTGGTATCGCTCGAAGTTTGGTCTGTAATCGAAATGATGTCCTTTGGTGACCAGAGCTTCCCTGACGTTTCTCTGTTCATTAACCACAACGCATTTAACGGACCCTAACTGAAGTTTGAACACACTACCGAACTTCTTTCCAAGATCCGCAAACGCTTGGTAAGGCACTTCGTATCCAGCCAATAAGTGCATATGTCCGATGATGGGCAACCTTCTGGGACTTGGTGGTTCTTGCAGAAACGTCCCCTCTTCTTTAACATCCCTGCTTTTAAAGAACTCGAAGCACGTTACCAAGATGACGATTATCAACACGATTAAAAGAAAGATGGTGAACAATGGGACCATTTTGACGCGATTTATGAATGAATAAAAAAAAGTTAAAAAAAGGAGCTAAATGGAGACAACCGATGGATTGGTGCACGTAAGGCGCTGGTTTGTTGTCTGAAGAACGTTTGGTTGTAACGTTCTTTATATAGACCGCGTGGATTAGCATTTTATTGGTTTAGGATTCATTTATTCCGGTAGATTTAAATTGTTGAGTATTTTGGACCGTTTTTTAAATGAGTTTTCGAGTGATGACGCGTTCATGATGAAGCTTGCAGATTAGATCTGGACCGTGAAAGATATATTTAGAACCATAAATATTACGAATATGCATCAAATAATAATAAAATATATAAACAATCCATATTTAGTAAATTAAATTTTTCAAAAAAAAATTGATATATCTTATCTTTCTGAATTCATCATATATCTTCAGCTAATTCAGAATACGAACTTCCACTAGCCATAGGCTTTATAGACTTTCAGAAGGCCTTCGACTAAATATATCTTAAGACAATAATAGAAGCCCTAACCAAACCAAACTGTCGCCAATATACAGGGTGGTCCGAAGTGTATTTCGGAAACTTGGTGTCTGGGAGTTTTTTGACATGAGAAATTTGATTTTGATATCAATATGACTCCTACTTGTAGAGGGCACCACCAAGAGTAATAACTTTTCGTCCGTGCCTGTATAAACCTACTGAGTTAAAAAATATACATTTACGACGTTTTTTTTAAGCAAAAAAAGTCTCTTGGTAAAAATCGCTACCGAGTAATGGTTCTCGAGATATTTGGAATCTAAATTATCATAACCCATGATCATAACCTGTCATCACTAACATAAATTAAACATGCTGACAAAATAGTTGGGTATTAGACCGAAATCATAAATTTGAAATGTTTTTGTACGAAAAGTTCAACAGAAACTGTTTTATCATAATTTTTTTCGAAGAAAAATTTATGATTAATTAAAAAAAATAAAAAGTTCTCAAATTTATCATTTCCGTCAAATAACTATCTATAACATTTTTTACGTAAAAAAATAATGGAAATGTATATTATTTCACTCAGTAGTTTTATACAGGTACGGACAAAAAGTTATTATTCTTCAAAACTGTTAAAATATATGTAGGTGGCGCCCCCTACAAATAGGAGTCATATTGACATCAAAATCAAAGTTCTCGTGTCTAAAAACTCCTAGACCATTTCCAATTTTGACGTTACTTCAGACATCATTTAAAAAAAATCGAAATAAAAATGAAACTTTTACACCCTGTATCTTCCAAACTAAGCATTTTATAACATATTTATAAAAACTTTTTTACTTATTTTTTATATGCAGAATATGCTGAGGAAGTTTCCGGAATACAGTTCTGACCACCCTGTATACAAAGAAGCCAAAGCTAGAAAATTATATATAAAACAACCCCAGAGTTCCCAACTGGCAAGGGAGTACGACAGGAAGACGCGATATCCCCAAAGCTGTTTCCTGCAACACTAGAAGTATCTTGTAGTTATAGGTGGTTTAAAGCTAGTTTGAAGAAATCTTGCCTCAACTGGACTGGACCAACAAAGGATTAAGAATAGATTGAGAATATATTAGTCATCTAAGATTCGCTAATGACATATAGTCTTAATTGCCAATAGTCCTGAAGAACTACAAATTAACGAACTGAATACAGCTAGCAATAAAATAGGTCTCAAAATTAATTTAGCACAAACTAAAGTAATATCATAGTATAAGGAAACTAGTAGATTTACTCCTTGTCAAATCCTTTGTTCTTTTTCTGCCACTTTATGTGACTTTGTTCTCGCCTCCCGTGACCACTGACGTAGCTGTATAGTTGTGGTCTATTAACTAGGCAAAGTATAGTCGCGGCACTCGCCGTAGTTTCACAGATATGTATTTAAAAAAATTTGAGTCCCCAATAAAATAAAATAAAATAAATTGATCATCGAGTAAAAACTTGCTTGAAAACAGAATGTTTTCACATTTCGTATAGGTAACAATTCTTCTGTATCTGAAAATCTTCTGATTGGAAGAAATGCGGAAAATATATATAATGACATATTTTTATATTATTGTCTATTTTATTTTACAATTTTTTTTTGATTTAAAACAAGTTTATTTTGTAGATAACTTGATTCTATTTAAAGCACACTGTGTTGCCATTCTATTTTAGTGTGTACATGCATTCATATACCGAGTGCTTATTCGTTATTCGTATATTTAAATTAGGATGTTAAGTATATTTCAGATAATTAATTGCACCTGAATCTTAAAATAAAGACATCTTTTAAGATTAAGGTTATCGTTAAATTTATAATATACAATTTATTATTATTTCTGCATAAATACTAGGTTTATGATTAATATCTTATCCTCGGTACATATTATGTATTATATATCAATACTTTCATAATTTGTTATTTATGAAAATATGTTGTAATATGTACCAGCTGGGATATATCAAGAATGAGGTAGATCAACATCTACAATAACTTATTAGTTCCAAAATATAATAGGAAATTCCCCTATGAATATGGATTGCATAAGTTCTGAATAACTTATAAAATACAGAGTGTTTTAGGAAATGACACAGTTTAATCACAACAATAATCTTTTACATTATTACAATTTTTTTGTAATTTTTGTAATTAAATATAAATCGTAATTTTTCATATAGATAAAATCCTGGTATAAAATTAGATATGGTATATTTATATCTTTCATCTGATTATTTGAATTTATTTCGTTAGATAGAAATGAAATGGCATACTTGAGAATTTTTACAGAATGATTAATATTAAGCACTATTTTGATTTCTAAGACACGTTTAGAATCAGGAAATTACATATTAATTGCATTTATTACTTTAATCTTATATTAAACAATTAAGTAAAATGTATTTTAATACACTAAGTACTTTCAATACAAATATAGTCTTAATAAACGTAAATATATTACTATTCCCATGGTAGTATTTTAAAATTTCTACATAAACGATATTCTTATTATAATCAAAAAATTATAAAGCCAAATTTAGATTATATTTAAATAATAAAAACAATTCTGTAAGCAAAATAGACGAATAAAATGACTATTGATTAATGTAATCTACAGAGAGTTATAAATAAAATATAGAAATATAATTTTTATATTCTTTTTTATTAAAATTACTATAAAATCAATCCTAGCAAAACTCTTTTTTTATTTTTTACTATGTTCAATAGGTAAATCTCTGACAACCATGTCTCTTGTCAAGAGCTTTGAAGTTTTGTCACGAAGTTTGCACATACACACACACATTCCATTTAGATTAACACCCCTCTCAAGTGTTCAAAATACCTGTAAGAGTTCAAAATACCTGTAGATCATCAAAACACAACTTTCCCATTACTTAAGCAATTTGAATATAGTTTCCGATTTAACGGGGTGTAAACCAAGAAGATTTTTACATGACACCCTGTTGATGTGACACCATGATGTGACCATGACACCTAGTGATGTGCAAAAACTAGTCACTGCAAACAGGAGCGGATACAGGAATTTATTTTAGGGAGAGCCAAATAAAAAGTAATGTAAAATATGCTTTTTAGATCGCAATTTTTAACCCAGAAGCCTAATATTTAACCCAATTAATAGATTTTAGGGGGAGCCTTGGCTCCATGGGCCCCCCTCTGTATTCGCCACTGGCTGCAAATGCAATACTAAGACCAGAATTGGTATTAGTATTGCATTTGCTCAAGTTGGGTAAGTTTTTTTTAAAATATTTTTACTGTAGGTACTTTCTACATAGAGAATTTTGAAATATAGGTATAGTTTTTTAAGTAATTTAATTCAAATGAAACTAAAGAAATAAATCATGCTATATGTGCGTTGATACTAACATGGTTAGCAAAGCGCGTCAGTGCAAAGTGTAATAGTATTTTATTTTGCTAAAGATAGATTTTCCGTATAATTCCGCCATGGCTTTTTAGATCTATGGTCGCAGTATTGTTTAAATTGCGCGTGTAGGTGCTCAGTACCATTGACATTTCGCATGAAAAACGGTCATGGCGAAAATTTCTTTTTTTCTATTCATTTCACGCGAGATCAAGGTGGAGGTCCTTTATATAGAAGATCTTGGAAAAGCCGTAACAAAAGGATTTTAGTAATTTAAAACACATTTTTCCTTATTTCTACAGGCCGTTGCATCATGATTTGAACATAGAAAATCCTATGTCAATTTTAAAAATGATGAATAACTTTTATATTTAACATGAAGCAAATTGTTCAATTTTAATAGCTTCTACAAATTCCTTTCCAAAGATAAAAAAATTACTATACATGGTGTCTTAAATAAGTGCAAATAATTTAAGGGTTAGTGTATTTCCACTCCAGAAACACGACTATAAGATCATAGAACATTGAAACAATGATCTGGTTCTGATTTTGTATTGTCGACAAAAAAGTAATGAAGAAATTAGTAGAGAGAATTGAATTTTCTACAATTATTCTTGTATAAGTAATTTTCCAAAAGAACTATTATTTATTGCTATTAATTAACAAAAATTGTTTCTTTTTCAGACCTCAACCAGATGATAATTTTGGCGAGATCAAGCCCTAGACGTCACAGTTAAGAGGTTGTAATTTACTTTTATATTGAGTAAAAATGATTTGAAATTGTGTATCTATATTTGATATCAATTAAACTTTTAGTTACGTAATCGAAAGTGCGATTTTTAAATTCATTGTTGCCAACCATGGACATATTCGATGCCGGGCTGACTAACTGGAATTTAAATTTCCCGCTAGGATTCGGGTGGTAGCTCTGCTCTGCTGGTAAAAAATGTTGCCACATTTATTCATCTATTTCCTGACATTCTCATTCGTTTTGAAACTTTAGTTTTGTATTACGAGTTTTTGGTTTAAATAAATAATGTTGTGATACTTTAAGGTTAAAAATGTTTACTGGCAGACCTTGCAGTCAAACATTGTTATTTTTAGAACCTCACTTAGTACGAAGTTGGGGTGCAAGATAACTTAATCGCCGTAAAAAACTCATCGCAACTTTATTAGAGTATTTTGAACAAGAAAGCGGTAGTAATGGCTT